GTGTGTGTGTGCCCAGTGTGTGTGCGCGGTGTGCGTGTGCGCGGTGTGCGTGTGCGCGGTGTGCGTGTATGTGCGCGGTGTGCGTGTATGTGCGCGGTGTGTGTGTGTGCGTGGTGTGTGTGTGCGCGGTGTGTGTGTGTATGTGTGCGCGGTGTGTGTGTGGTTATCAGTACCAACATGCGGTGCTGATTACTCCACTGTCAGTTTCGTGTTCAAACGGCAGCATAGATAAGTGAAAAGAGAAGCTGCTTACATGGTACATCACTGTTAGCCACCACAGACAACCTCATGTTCCCTACATGATGGTGTTCACTCTCTCCCTTAAGGCATCCACATGTATACAGACCGCCAACGTATTTGAAGTCCTCATTAAACGGTACATTTTGATAAAATGTGTCAAGTGTGTTAGGTACCCGTTTCTCTGGGCTCGTTCCCCAGAGCCTCCTCTCCATGTCTCTTCCTCATGTGGACGTTCCTGCTGCCGCTCTGAGAGAACATCTTCCCACAGATCCCACACTGGTGAGGCTTCTCTCCTGGAACACATGGGTTGAGACGACATAGGGCTGAGACGACGCCAGCAACCAAGACGAAACCTTACGTTTTCACAGTGACCTTCAGAACCCTCTTAGAAAACCAAGAACACTACAACCTGTTTTTGCTGGCGTCGTTTCCGTAGCGACTGGCGCTTTTACCCTGTAGATACTGACGTGTTAATTAAACGTGGTTAGCAGTGGCAGGAGGCGTCCTGTGTGTGTGTGTGGGCGTCGCGCTCACCTGAGTGTACCAGCATGTGTTTGCGGAGACTGGAATACTCTGCAAAAGACCGGCCACAGCCATCTGCTTCACACAAGAAGGGCTTCTCGCCTACAGAAACACACACACACACACGGGTGAACGAGTTTCACACACACACACTTATTATTGATCTGTCTATTCGCACAGACCGTGCATTACACCACTCCCACACAACCGTGTCCAGCACATGTACTCCCACAGCGCCGAAAACACCGGAAACATCCAGGAAGACTTCCAGCTCACCTTCACAGCGGCCGTGGAAAAGCACTGCCTTTATTGTTCCGGACATTGTTGTTATCAAAGGTTTTACACATCTTTTGTGTTAAATAGTGGGAGCCAAAATCTACTCTTACAAACCAAGTCATCGGGCATCACACGATGCACCGCTGTGAAAATGTAGCGCATTTAGCATTTAGCAATGAGTACACACAAAAGTGAAGACAATCGGAAAGAGGGCAAATGCTTTCTCATGCCAATGTATGCGGTCTTAAATGCTTTCTGTCTGTGTCTGGTTGTAAATGTAATGTGTGTGTGTGTGTGTGTGTCCTCACCAGTGTGTGTGCGTTTGTGGTTCTTGAGGTTTCCTGCAGTGGTGAACTTCTTGCCACAGTTCTTCTCTTTGCAGATGAAGGGCTTGTCTCCATTGTGAGTTCTCATGTGAACCTGAAGACGCTGCAGCACAAAGAAACTCTTCCCACAGCCCTCTGCCCCACACTGGAACGTACGATCGTTCCTGACACACACACACACACACACACACACACAGAGACACATTAAGTATACCCGGAAACATTTATGTTTGTGTGTGTACGTGTGTGTGTGTATATATATGTATATGTATGTTTGTGTGTATGTATATGTTTGTGTGTACGTGTGTGTGTGTATATATATATATATATATGTTTGTGTGTACGTGTGTGTGTGTATATATATATATATATATATGTTTGTGTGTACGTGTGTGTGTATATATATATATATATGTATATGTTTGTGTGTGTACGTGTGTGTGTGTGTATATATATGTATATGTTTGTGTGTACGTGTGTGTGTATATATATGTATATGTATGTTTGTGTGTGTACGTGTGTGTGTGTATATATATATATGTATGTTTGTGTGTGTGTGTGTGTATATATATGTATATGTTTGTGTGTACGTGTGTGTGTGTATATATATATATATATATATGTTTGTGTGTACGTGTGTGTGTATATATATATATATATATATATGTATATGTTTGTGTGTGTACGTGTGTGTGTGTATATATATGTATATGTTTGTGTGTACGTGTGTGTGTATATATATATATATATATATATGTATATGTTTGTGTGTGTACGTGTGTGTGTGTATATATATATATATATATGTTTGTGTGTACGTGTGTGTATATATATATATATATATATATATATGTATATGTTTGTGTGTGTACGTGTGTGTGTGTATATATATGTATATGTTTGTGTGTACGTGTGTGTGTATATATATGTATATGTTTGTGTGTGTACGTGTGTGTGTGTGTATATATATGTATATGTTTGTGTGTACGTGTGTGTGTATATATATATATATATATATATGTATATGTTTGTGTGTGTACGTGTGTGTGTGTATATATATGTATATGTTTGTGTGTACGTGTGTGTGTATATATATGTATATGTATGTTTGTGTGTGTACGTGTGTGTGTGTATATATATATATGTATGTTTGTGTGTGTGTGTGTGTATATATGTATGTGTGTGTGTACCTGTGGGTTTTAAGGTGGTATTTCAGGTGAGCAGGCCAGGTGAACGTTCTGTAGCAGCCCTCAAATGAGCAGCGGAGGATTTGTTTGGATGAGAGCGGGCGATTGGTCCTCATTGGTTGCTCTCTCTTGGGCCCCTCCGACAGGAAGCTGGACAGGTGGTCACCTAGGCAACAGAGACGGGATGTGAGATCATAAACAAAAGTGTTCCTGTATTGTTGTTTTTCTACATAGTCAGGTAAACGTCAAACCAGCTCTTCAGTTGGTGTCAGTAAACCATGATTATGGTCCATTAGCCTAGCGCACCTACATGCTACCATAGGCATCGTCCCAAAAACAACAGAACCTGTGAGATACCCAGCAGCATTGGTACTGTCACTAGGACAACGCAGAATTTAGCAGCTGTTAGAGTCTATAGCATTTATATACAATGGTGGGGACATGTATATCCTCAGAAAGCTATTGGTTCTGATTTTGTTTGCACAAAAAGAACCAAGCAAATAAATTAGAACCGAAGAAAATATTTCTCCGTCACCAAAATCCCAACTGATCCGGGAGAGTTTAAGATCACCACAAGTCTTCCTCGTAGGTATCCGGGCCAGGTGATTATGCTTTCCTCTACACTGCTCTACTAGGATGTCTGGTGGGTCAACGCATGCAGCAGAGACACGGCACTAGAGGGCAGAACAATCAGGAAATCCACAGCTAACTAGGCAACTAGTGGCAGTCAACTGTGGGTCAGCTTGGGGCTATTAAAAAACGCCTAACCCTGCTACAGGTAAGACCTACAGGAAATTTAGACAATTTGTTTTTTTTAGGTTTGGGTTAACTAATATTACCCACCACTTTGGCTGAAACAATTAGTCGATGTTATCAACAACAAAATACTTTGTTGTTATTGACAAGTCGTTTAATCTCATAGGACCTATTTTAAGTGCCTGCAGTAACATGATTTGACCAGGGTGGCGCTGTAGCTCTAGACTGTAATGCAGCGCTACCGTAAACAACCCAATAATAAAAAACATATATTTATAAAATATCAAAATTGCGCTAAATTCGCAAGCGTCCAAACCGAGCAGAGCAAGTTGCGTGAGGGGAAGTTTCAATCAAACAAAAAATGTACGCATCTGTTTGGAGTGCGAGAGAGATTGTGCGGGCTGGAACATTTATACAGGAAACAATATATTTTTCAAAAGCCTTGCTTTATTTATTAGTTAGAATAAGTGTAACTCAATGTTTTAACATATTACAATAACTGAATAATCGTTCAAACCCTACTGATTAATCATTGGTGAAGTAGATGATTAGTCAACTAATTGTTTAAATAATCGTTAGATTTGTCGCTTTTCAAAATAATAGTTTGTAGCAGCCCGACCCACCACCATGAAAACCCATGAAAAGAAGAAGTGACATTACTGTTGGGACCATTCCCGGCCCTAGCGTCCTGGCTAGCCTTGGCATCTTTAGCCAGCTGTGCCCGCGTGGCTGCGATGAGACTATCGTGTGCCAGCTCCTGTACCCGCAGGTACCAGGGGGCGGCACCATCCACCCCACAGTCCCCGGACGAGATCACCTCCTCGTCTTCTTCCTCCGCCCCGTCCGCTGAGAAGATCAACGGCTCAGAAGATGATGCCAGGCCTGGAGTGGGAAGTGGGGAAAGAACATGAAGGGAGAACATGAGGGGGGGAGCAAACAGGAGGGGAGAGGGGTGGAGAGAGGGGAGGGGGTGGAAAGAGGGGGGTGGAAAGAGAGGGGGAGGTGGCGAGGAGGGGGTGGAGAGAGGGGGTGGAAAGAAGGGGGTGGAGAGAGAGGGAGTTTAGAAGGGCATGATGAAGTGTCCATGCCAAATGTTATCTAAGCCCCACAATGTATAGAAAACAAGGTTATAAGAGAATAAATGCGGTCACTCAGAAACTGAGTGTGTGGAGAGGAAGAGATAACACAGAGCACTTAGTGCCGTATCAAAGCTGCCACCAAAAATACTATGTGGGTATGTAAGCAGTCAAACGTCAGGTATTTCTGCACAGCTTTCAAGAACATCAAACACGGTTTGGTAAACTGGGGGGGGGTTCATCTACTGCAACAACTGCAGCTTAAGTTTGAGTACAAACTACTGCTCTTTTTTCAAAAACCCTAAGCTCTATCAGTAACCACGTTCCTGTCTGATGCCTGAAAATGTCTGGAAAATATTTGGAAAAGTCTTTTGTCCATGTTTCTAAATTCTTACAGAAAATCAGCAGATAATTGATGAGTGAGATAGTAGACGCTTACCTCCCCTGTGTAATAGTGACAGATTCAGATGTCTTAGGGATATGATATTTATGTCTCTGTAACTTTCTCACTCATTATTGAAGATTCCATCATGATTATAATTAATTACATGATTCTCCATGTTGATGTAAATGTCTTAATTTACATTTAAGTCAGAGCGGAGACAATTTTATTCCGGCCCCTCTAGGAATTGAACTAACAACCATGGCATTGATAGCACCATGCTCTACCAACTGTTCTACACAGGAATCATGTTCAAAAAATGTGGTTAATTTCAACAAAAGTGACTCTAGATTTCTGTTGGGCACAACACAACCAAAGTGCCCTGAAGAGGTTTGATGTAGCCATTCTGTAATAGGAAAAACATTTACATAACTTGGCTAGTGAATAGAATAAATCTACCAATTTAATTGTTCAAGCTATTGAAACTTGGATGAGTCATAAAAAGTCCATATGGGTTCGGTCCATACATGTTAGGGTTAGGTCCATGGGTTAGGGTTAGGCCCATTTATATGTTAGGGTTAGGCCCATATATATATATGTTAGGGTTAGGCCCATATATATATGATAGGGTTAGGCCCATATATATGTTAGGGTTAGGCCCATATATATGTATGTTAGGGTTAGGTCCATGGGTTAGGGTTAGGCCCATTTATATGTTAGGGTTAGGCCCATATATATATATGTTAGGGTTAGGTCCATGGGTTAGGGTTAGGCCCATTTATATGTTAGGGTTAGGCCCATATATATATATATATATATGTTAGGGTTAGGCCCATATATATATATGTTAGGGTTAGGCCCATATATATGTTACGATTAGGCCCATATATATATATATATATGTTAGGGTTAGGCCCATATATATGTTAGGGTTAGGCCCATATATATATATATATATATGTTAGGGTTAGGCCAATTTATATGTTAGGGTTAGGCCCATATATATGTTAGGGTTAGGCCCATATATATATGTTAGGGTTAGGTCCATGTATATGTTAGGGTTAGGCCCATATATATATGTTAGGGTTAGGTCCATATATATTGGTTAGGGTTAGGTCCATATGGGTTAGGTCCATATATATGTGTTAGGGTTAGGTCCATATGGGTTAGGGTTAGAGGTCCATATATATTGGTTAGGGTTAGGCCCATATATATATGTTAGGGTTAGGCCCATATATATATATATGTTAGGGTTAGGCCCATATATATATATATGTTAGGGTTAGGCCCATATATATGTTAGGGTTAGGCCCATATATATATATATATATATATATATGTTAGGGTTAGGCCCATATATATGTTAGGGTTAGGCCCATATATATATATATATATATGTTAGGGTTAGGCCCATATATATTTTAGGGTTAGGCCCATATATATGTTAGGGTTAGGCCCATATATATATATATATGTTAGGGTTAGGTCCATATATATTGGTTAGGGTTAGGTCCATATGGGTTAGGGTTAGGTCCATATATATGTGTTAGGGTTAGGTCCATATGGGTTAGGGTTAGAGGTCCATATATATGGGTTAGGGTTAGGTCCATATATAAATATGTTAGGGTTAGGTCCATATATGTGTTAGGGTTAAGTCCATATGGGTTAGGGTTAGGCCCGTATATGTTAGGGTTAGGTCCATATATGTGTTAAATTAAACGGACAGGGAAAACATCTAACTCAGGGGTCTCCAAACCTGTTCCTGTTGAGTTACTGTCCTGGTGGTTTTCACTCCAACTCAAATTTAACACACCTGACTAATAATTACAGTTAATTACTGTCTGATGCTATAAAACATTGCCATGGTTGATGCCTGTTCATCTCTATGGTCGCCTGTACATCTCTATGGGCGCCTGTGCCCTTAGAGCTCACATTACATCTATAGGGTGCCCTGTACCTTCTGACCTCACTATACATCTCTATGATCGCCTGTACATCTCTATGGTCACCTGTACGCTTTGAGCTCACGTTACAACTATATGGTGCCCTGTACCTTCTGACCTCACTGTACATCTCTATGGTTGCGTGTACCTTTGGCCAGATTGAGGAGGACATAGGACGTGCTCTCTGACCGCTGCAGGTCATGGAGGACAGGAGGGGGGCTGGGGGGGTGTGGGTTGGGAGGCACCACCATGGGGTTCCGATCTACACCCCCAAACTCCAACAGGGACGGAGACCTGGCTGATGCATGGCTGAGACCAGTATCTGTGGAGCAAAAAAAACATCAGGTACTTAGTAGATGCTCTTATAAATATCTTTCAGATGTGCTGCAGTGCTTCAGCACCAGCCATGGGGGGTGCATCACAACAATAACAACCATTCTAAAAGGTGCATACCAAGACAAACATACAACATTATTTATACATAGCACTTTTTAAACTGCCGTCTTCCTCAGGATCAGCATGAGGTCAACACTTGTCACATAACTCCTCCCATAGACTCAAGTAAAGTGATCAAATGTCTTAATAAGGTCCAACAACCCTCTTTGTTTAGTGAGATTCGTTTAATTGTCCCTGTTTTTATTTAACCGCTGTCTGCTGTGAGATGTCTGACCTGTCAGGCCCAGCTGATTGCACAGTGAGCGGTCTGCCCGGGACAGCAGAGGAAGGCAGGTGTGTTTGGGTTCTGAGTCCTCCAGACCCTGGCCCAGAGGGATGGACGCGTTCTGGACAAACTGAACCAGCAGCTGCAGAAGCCGATGGGGACCGGGTTACAGAGATAGAGATAGTGAATCAAACAGCTCTGTCGCTAAAGGGGATTTAAATGACCACCATGTATCAGTGCTGGCAGGTGAATAGTTCTTACCTCAGGTTTGGAGTCAAGCTCATCTGAAAGCATGGATTACGCCTTGAGAGGTCTGTAGGAATACGTTACGATACGTATGAAAGTCAGACGCAATCACCTTCATGTCAAACTATTTCTCACTATATCGACACTGTCCATCACTTACCGCCTAACTGAGCTGTTAACTGAGATGTCCTAGTAAGATTGGAAAGGGGCCGATCATCGCGGTTGTATCAGTATCCAGTGTTTTTCATTCATTAAGTCAACCTGACAGATCATACATGCATTTGGTTTAATGGCTGACAGATCATAAATGTATTTATTTTAATGGCTGACAGACAATACATGTATTTGGTTTAATGGCTGACAGATCATAATAAATGTATTTGGTTTAATGGCTGACAGATCATACATGTATTTGGTTTAATGACTGACATGTGGAAGCTGGTCCACAGCAGGAAACACATTCACACCAAACAAGTGCCAAGTCGTTAAATACTACAGTGCATATATGCAGTAATGACCAATATATAAAACCCTCAGTTCCGGGGTCGTTAGTTTGACTATGAATCCAACACAACAAGCTGTTTAGAAATGGCAGATTTGTAAAAGCAAGTTACCGTAAGTAGCAGTTAGCGCGATAAACATATGATTTAGCTATAGCAAACATGTTAGTTATTGAATCTACAAAAGTTAACGACCTCCTAGGCTAGATAGTTATGTAGAGTGCTGTTTATCCAAAAAAGCATATTAGGACAGATTAGCCCTGTGTTGCTTACCAACATTTAAACAGGGTGTGTGTGTGTGTTAGTTAGCTTTAGCTATGTAGGTAGCCGGTGAGTTTGTTGTTAGCTTATATGTAGCTGTAATGTAACTAGCTAGCATGTGTTGCAGTTAATACCTTGCTGCTAGCAGTCTTATGCCAAAACAAAGCGTTACAACTCTTTCGAGGTCGCATATCTACACTAGAATAAATGCACGAAGACAATAAATTAAGAAAATGTTTCGTTTAAACGGTTTACAATACCATGTAATCTCATTTCTAAATTTGGACGCTCAACCCAGATCTACGGAAACCATTGAGGGACACACTGTACTGGTATGTTGGCGAGTGAGTGTCAGCAAAAAGCACAAGCAGTCATTTGCTGACATCTGCTGGTTGTTGCTGTGTGTGTTGTGCATCCACTGAAACGATCACTTACATTGAACATTATGTCCACCTGCCTAAAATGCCCGCCGAGGCATGTACTCCTGAAGGTGTCCAGTGGTATCTGACACCAAGACATTAGCAGAAGATCCTGTAAGTTGTCACCACATCCCAGAGATGCTCAAACGGAGTGAGATCTGTGGACTTTTTGAGGCATGTTGTCATTCCACAGTACACCCTGGTGCCATCCCATCCGCAGGTAAACAGCACACGGGTGCACTGCCATCCACATTACCAAGCAACCTTCTTCCAATGATCCAACCCAAGGCTTCTTTCAAGTCTCCCAGTGTAGGCGCTTTTGACCCTGGACAAGTTCACCATGTGACCGGTCTGCAGCTATGCAGATCCAAACCTAGCAGGGCGCGATGCACTGTGTGTCGAGACACATTCCATGTAAAAGTTCTAGGTATCACAAATAAAAGTTCTGTTTCCAAAACCTTGAAAAATATGTGTCCGATAGCTTTGAATCTAAGCGTTCTACCAATATGGTTAAATTGTATTTATTGTCAGTGAGCCATTAATAATTGCATAAAGACATACGGTTTGTTCCGAGGAACAACTGGGATGCAGGGATTTAAGCGTGTAAACACACCCCAATCTGACAGAGTTGCACTGCTTTTATACATTTTCAACCAGGGAAATAGACTCTAAAAAATCCCTATGAGACAACATCACCCTGATTGGCCTCCTGGCTCATGGACTTATGCTACAGTTGGTTTACCATCTGCTCAAAAATGTAACTGCAGACTGCATAATTTAGACACTGTAGGTTACTTTGGAACATCACTTACCTCAAATAGATCTAATTGCACATCCATTTAATTAAATCTGATATCTATTAGATACTATGCAAAATTGACGTTTCACCACTAAACGTAATTACCAGTCAAGCAGGTTATAGAATGCAGTGGCAGTTTTGTTTTAAATTAGCCATGCTGTTATACTTGGTCTGTTGGACTTAGGTATAATTTTGTAATCATACTTTTTGTTGTTTCCTGCAGGCTATAGCAGACTGCCCATAACACATAAAATGTAAAGCACAAATGTGCAGAGGCTTCAGGGAAACTGTAAATTTTATTAAAACGATGGACTTAAGACTCTCCATTAAATGTCAATGTTGTATTCCTCCATTATCCGTTCCACTTATTCATTAAATATTTTGTACATTTTGCACCAAATATAGTGTGAGATTATAACACTCTCTCCTGTGTACAATTCCATTGATTTTGATCATATCAGTATTTTCACTTGAAG